CGATACATCCATCTCAAGTCATCTTAAATTCTCGTATGATCTCTTATCTTTTAATTAAGAACGCGAAGGTCTACTGGCAATTCATGTATAAATTACTGAATATAAAAGTAGAAAACGAACCACTTGCACAAAAGTACCTTACCTTGATTGATCAAACGAGTTTTGTTGAAGAAAAGAATACTTGAAAACTTGTGTGTATTCGAACTTAACTGGGGCTCGAGGAAATTCTCTGGCCATATGTTGCAGTATTCTATGCTTGATGAAACAACCAACATTCATAGCAGTTAAGGTCTGCAAATTCTTATCAACTTGCTTCTCCACGGGCTTGCGATACACTTTAAGACTCAACACAGCCAGTAACTGCGTGATGTTGTAAAGGGTTTCATCGATCCCTCGATTTGTTGTTCGAGTTTGTCGAGCCTCCGTTCATCGTCGATTATTCGACTGTCATCGGTACCTTCGTCGACTATCAGATTAAGGCAATTTCCTTGCTCTGATACTAACTTTGGTGCGAAAGCTTTTATAAAATTCTTGTAATAAGAATTATATAATAAATAAGAATGATATTTGAACATACTTGTGTGTATTCGAACTTAACTGGGGCTCGAGTAAATTCTCTGGCCATATGTTGCAGTTTTCTATGCTAGATGAAACTACCAACATTCATAGCAGTTAAGGTCTGTAAATTCTTATCTACTTGCTTCTCCACGGGCTTGTGATTCACTTTAAGACTCAACACGGCCAGTAACTGCGTGATGTTGTAAAGGGTTTCATCGATCCCTCGATTCGTTGTTCTAGTTTTTCGAGCCTCCGTTCATCGTCGATGATTCGACTGTCATCGGTACCTTCGTCGGCTATCAGATTAAGGTAATTTCCTTGCTCTAATACTGATTTTGGTGCGGAAGCTTTTATAAATTTCTTGTAATAAGAATTATATAATAAATAAGAATGATATTTGAACAATTATGTCTTGTATATAATTTATTGTTGTTGAAAAAATGTACAATACATTTGTATTTATAAGCAAAACTATTCCCTAATTCTATTAATATAAGAAAATTAAATTCTAAAAAGAAATTTAAAAAAAATCCTAATTTAAAATAAATTATAAATCATATTCTAGTCAATAAAGAAAAGAAATTCTATTTTAAACAAAATATTAGAATAAAAAGACAAAACTTATTACAGTTAGACATCTTATTATAAATATATGATTCCAATCCTATTTAAAATAGGATTGTCCTACATCAAAGTTTATATAATTTGATCTAACGCTCTTATTCTTAGATTTTATTTCGTTATTGGAGATGAGATGTGCAAATTAATGAAAAGACGAATATAAAAATGCCTTAAAAAAGGTTAGAGACTTAATAATATGATGATCGAAATTTGGAGGTTCAATTAAAATGTGATGTAGCTAATAAAACTATTGTATAAATATAACTACCGAAGGCGAAGTGCATTAACCATAGACTACCCTTAATATCTTTTCCCACACTGCCTTCGTTTCTTGCTCCCATATATCTCCTTCCCTAGTTCTCGGGCTTCTCCTTCCGTTGCCCTTTTCCCTCCCTGCCTTTTCCTCGCTAGTGTACCCCCCTCCTTCGCCTTTCATTGCCCTTTATTTCTCGTCCTATTCCAAATCTCATTGTCCAACTCTTTTGCTTAAAATAGGGTTTTTGAAAGCTTCAGAGCTCTCGAATAACATGATTTTGGAAGACAACGAATTTATGTCAAAATGTTCTCTTTTAATAAGGATAAATAAGTCATTTTGGTGCAAAAGTAGGTTTTATAAATAAAAAATTTAGTTATGGAACATTTTTCACCTTGATCTAGAAAAAAAAGGCCTTTTTAGAAGAAAAAAAATCATCTAAAAGGTCAGTATTAGAGTCTTCAAACTTCAGTGAAAACCTATGAAACAACATAACGCATAATTTAATAAAACTCATTTTCAATTACATATTTTTCCGTAAAATAATTTTATACGTCAATTCAAAAAAATATCCTATTTTTAATTATATATTCTCTGAAAAATCATTATTCTTAAATATATTTTTTCCAAAAAAAAAATGATGCTCAAACATGATCCTAATAAGTTAAAACAATTAGTACCAACAATAAACACATTATTTGGGAGGACAATAATCCACATTTGCATTAATATTTTTCAAGTCTGTCAGTCACAAGAAGACAAGGCATGTGATTCCTGGAAACAAGTCAAGAAAATTGTCAATGGATAAGAGTGAAAATTATTGAAAAATGCCATGAAATAATATTAAATTATAAGATTAATTAGATATCATGTATCTTAGAGCCATTGGAAATTTGTGTTTGTAATTATTTATATAGATATGTTATGTAGTTTTTGAGCTTTGTTACATGTACACTCTAGTGTCTATATATCGGATGACNTGAGCTTTGTTACATGTACACTATAGTGTATATATATCGGATGACATGATACACAAATAGTATTATGTATTGGTGGAAATAGTGTAACCTCTAAATGTACAAGCAGAATAATCCGTAGTCTTTATTTGTTGGAGGCGACGCATAATCTCTTCTTAAATACCTATTTAATTCATTCGTGTGATGATTTGAATTTAAAAAAAAAAATTAATTAACTACCTTTAAAAATTATCAAATATTGAAATGACACACTTTTAGAATCTTCTTTTATTCTTTATTTTTTCAAATTATTAAATCCATCAATGACCACATATATAGTGTCACTATGACCACCAAATTTGATTTGTTTCACCGTGACCATCCAACTTTCTATTTACTGTCATCATGATCACCAATTTTATATAATATTTTACCATGACCATCCATTTTTATATAACATTTCACCATAGTCACTCAACTTCTTTTCATCATTTTCACTACTTTTAAAAGGGTAAAACGGAAACTTTGCATTATATATATAAAATAAAAATAAAAACTTATTTTAAAAAACAAAAACTTATTTTGAAAAAAATTACTTAGAAAAATAAAATAAAATAAAAACTTATTTTTAAAAAAAAATTAAAATAAAATAAAAACTTATTTTAAAAAAAATTACTTAGTAAAATAAAATAAAAACTTATTTTAAAATAAACCTTTTCAAAATATAAAAAAAAAAATTATTTTTTTTTTCAAATTTATT